CCTTCCTGCGCTGGTAGGAGCCAGCTTGTGCTCAGGGACGTCAGCGAAGAATCCGGCTGCGGGTGGGCGGCCGGGGTAGGTGGACGGCCCGTTGCCATGGCGCCTCTAGAGAGCTCACCCACTTCCCGGCTCCTTCCTTCCCCTTCTCTTCTCTCTGAATCTGTGAGCGTCCTTGTTCCTCACACCTACTCTGGGTTCTTGGACCTGTCACCGGAAGCAGTGACGTCCCTCCTTCCCCGCCAAGAGCCTGTGTTGTGTGGCTCCGGGACTTCGGAGGAGTTTGGGCGAAGGTGTACCTTCCCAGCCTCCCCTCCCAGCCTCCATCACTTCCTGGGAGTCTCTAACCTCCCCCCCAGACGCAGACTCCTCTCCACGTAGCGCCCACAGCAGGTGGATCCCGTTGCCAGTGGGGCCCACGGTGGCTGTGCCCTAGAAAAGCGCCATTGCCCGGCCGGTGTGGCTCAGTGGGTGAGCGTCAACCTATGAACCTGGAGGTCACAGGTTCGATTCCTGGTCAGGGCACATGCCCGGGTTGCAGGCTCAATCCCCAGTAGGGGGCGTGCAGGAGGCAGCCGACCCATGATTCTCTCTCATCGTTGATGTTTCTCTCTCTCTCTCTCTCCCTCCCTCTCCCTCTCCCTCTCCCTTTCCTTCTCCTTCTCCTTCTCCTTTCCTCTCTGAAATCAATAAAAATGTATTTTTAAAAAAGAAAGAAAAGTGCTGTTGTGCCCCCATGCACCGCCCTGGCACCTGTGCCCTGCGTGGGGGGTAGGGGTGGCTCGTCTAGCCCATGAGGAGCTGGAGCCCCACGCCGATGAGGGGGGGTGTGCACCCCCAGGCAGAGCTCCAGGCGCTGGGCAGCGGTGTCACCTGAGGGTTGCAGGTTGGAATGACTCGGCCTGGGTTTTTGAAGAAGTGGCTGCTCCTTTTTGAAGAAGTGGAACTGCCCTTCCGGGAATCGCCCGTGGCAGCCCGAGGGCCGGACGCTGTGCCCTGGCTGCCCGGCTGCACCCCGCCCCGCACGAGCCCTCAAGGAGGGAGGTGACAAGGACATGTTCTTAGAAAAGAAACAGTCGTTCCATGAGGATGGGCTTTTAAAAAACCACACGCACATCCCGGACCCCACGCCTGCCGTGCCGGGGGCTGTGCAGTTCTTCAAGCAGAAGCCTGTGGGGCGATCGCAGGCCCCGACTTCCCCTTCACTGCGCGAGACACCCGCTTAAATGCCCGGTCCCAGACGAGCCGTGGTTTCTCTCACCCTCCGAGGAACTGGGGGACTTTCCCCGGGGACGCTGCCAGCACGTCACAGTGAGACCGTGTTCCCACTAGAAACTGCTCCAGTCCCGGCCTGGGGGCATCGCGGGCACCTGGGCACCGGCCAGGA